CGATGCAGAGTTTGAGATTAGTTCATTCATTAAAGCCTTGAAGATGCGCTCGGAAGGCTTAACAGATGGAACCATAATTGACAGAGTGAAACCAAATAGGGAAAACTGCCTTGCTAAAGAGAGCTGCATCATCTGGTCCAACGGAAAACTTGTCCAGAACATAGTCCTCAGACTCAGAAATGTGGAGTGTGGGGAAGTTGAACTTCAATTGCAGTGGATTGATGTTCCAATTTCTAGGGGTCTCTAGATTGCATCCTCTCTCTCTCTCTCTCTCTCTCTCTCCCTTTTTGTTTTCCTGTATATTTGTATTTGGGGGCCCTGCTTCTTCAATTCTTTTGTTCATAGATATGAGAGTGGTGTTTTTAAGTTTTTATCCTCCCATGTGTTGGTGTCAATCCTATGGGATGTGAGAAAAGTTTGAACAGCTTCATTTTCATTTTCTAATAAAATTACAATTTATTTGATTAATTCAAATCACCGTGTGTGAAGCTGTTGATGCCAAAAAATTTAACTCATGGTTGCCTTTTGGCTTCAAATTTAATTCATGGTTGACCAAAAAACAAAAAAAAAACTTCACTGTCATTCCTTAGGATTCCACCAGCACCAATCTGACCAGAATTACCTCTTCACAAAATGTGACCACTTGCTTACTCTCTTTCAGCATCCTAAACCACATCGCAACAATTTTATAAAATACGAATACTGAAATGTTAAACTTGAAAACACGAGTAACATTCATTATGATTGAAAATTAAGAGTACTAAATTGAAATTAACCGTAAACCTCTTGAACGATTTACTGAACCAATGTTACCAGGAGAAAGTAATTATGCGCGACTGAAATTAGGTGCAGCACACCAGATTTTTTGTTCTTGAAACAGGAAACAAAGAGAAGGGAAGATGGAGAAAATTACAATAAATATTCCTAGATTCCTTTTTAAATTAGTCTTTTCTGAAAGGAGGAGCAAAATCTATGAAGTAAGGGTATCTACCTTAACTTATAGCTAGAATTCACGTGTCCGCAGTAGCCGCGGCTCTCGCCTTTTCAAGAATTCTAGAATCCATGACATCACTTGAAAACAACCCCGAAGCGAAGAAACTACCCCGAATATCTTATATCAGACTTTTTTGTCTTGTTGGTTACATGTCTCTACTTATATGAGACCTTTTTTGGGTATGCAAGTCAGTTTTTCTACAACATGGAAAAAGGGAACCGGGGGGAGTGTGTGTGCCACAAAAGGGAAGAAACTACCCTGATGCCTTCCACCATGTTCACTGTGAATAATAGAAAACAAGGGACTGAACAGGGACAAAAGGGAAGAAACTAATCAAATTCAAGCCAACAGAGTCATTAAAAAAAAGAATATTAGCAACCTTCTCTCTAACCTTCTTTTTTGAACTTTCGTTCTTTTTCTCATGACATGTGTCACTTATGTTACATTTAATATCATTAATACATGAGACAATTTTGGCTTTTATTTTCTAGATTTACCCTTATGCCTTGATACTTGACACTACTAAATCCAAAAAATAAAAAACCGCATTAAAAAAATCCTTTATTTTATATATGTTGGTTACCAAATTATAAACTTGTTACATAAAATTCTTCTTGTAGATGCATTGACTATTGAGATCTTTTTTTTTTTTTTTTGGTAACAATGACTATTGAGATCTTCACTGACTACTTATGATCATTAGGCATTTCAAGAGTCTCATATGAACATATATATGAAATCAGCTCCCTATATCTCAAAAAACCTTTAAAAAATTGTAATAATATACTTCAAAGTTGAAATCAAAATTGTTTTATTTGAAAGAGAGAGAGTACTGGACTTTCAATATATAATGTGTCTAATGATACAACAGACTCAGCTAGGTCTCAAAAAATTTAGAAGCCCACAACCGTGGCATAACAGGCTCAGCCAGGTCTCAAAACATGCATAAATACTGAGGCCTAAAACATGAAGCCATTGACTAAAGCCCATAAGGCCCAAAGAACATGGTTTGAAATCTCGGCTCAAATACCAGGGAATGACCCAATTCTTAGGCCCAACCAGTTATGTATGGCAAAAAAATTTACCAAACTCAAAGATTGGCATTTGTCGGCAGAGTAAAATCACAGAACCGATTGAGGCAAGGAAATTATGTGCACCATCTTGAGAAGAGTATTGCGTGTAAGCTTAATATTGGGCAAAACCATAAGAACCCAATACATGACCCGAGATCTTGAACTTCATGATTTTCACAATAACATTATGCGGAAATTCAATTAGACTTAAATTACATACATACCTTGAATGATTAGTCTTCTACCATATCAAGATATTTGCCTTGAGCGATCCGTAGGCGAGCCGTCAGTGTGGAGGAAATAGATTTCTCTCTCTGGCCTTTTGCACGTTTAGAAAA